TAAGTCGTGGAAGCTTTATGCTTCCGTGATCGCCGAGGGTGGCCCTGAAGTAATGCTCTCCAGCAGTTCCGGGGCCACTCTCATATGAGATCGGGTCGGATTTCCTCGTGGTGATGTTTTAGTGGGTAGGTGCCTAGGCCTCGTCATCTGGCCAGGCGAATCCCACACTCCCCTGATGCAGGCGCAGGAGGTTTTCAGAAGATTTTTACACCACGTACAAAAAAAAAGGTTGGGGTGGGGGGGGTCGTTCGATGTGCGTTGGGCTGTAAAAACGTGTCTTAGTGCTGCTCCTCGGCTCGAGTACATCCTGGGTAGATAAAGTGGCCTTTGATCGGTCTAGATGTGATAGTTGTGTTCAGAATTGATTTCTGCATTAAATCGTGTGATTTTGTGTGTGAGAATTATCATTCTGTCGAGTTATAGACAAAATTCGTGTCGGGTGCGTAACCGCGTGGCGGAGCGGGTGATGGCGGAATAACATGCTATGTGCATGGTCGTCGGGCTTGTCTGTAGTGAACCCCTGTCCTCTGCCTCGGGTTTCTTCTGGTGCGGAACCCGTTGCGGTGTGCTAAGATATTTGGTGTAGACTCGGGGGTACCACTGGGAAGGGCATATATTATCTCTTGGCCCTTTAAATCGGGGGCGAATTCTTTGAGCACGTGGTGGCACCCCTTGAGTGTACTAAGCGCGACCCACGCGGGTGCTGAGACAGTGTCTTTCTTAGCAGTAATCTATCTGGCTTTCTTACGCTAGATATACGTAGCATTACGTGTTACTGCTGTACGTGTGTAGTCAGTGGTGTTGAGTAGAGCACGTGTAAAAAGGGAGGCATTTTTGCACGCACGTGGTGCGATTAACGTGTGGCGGCTAGTGCGCGAAAGAGAACGCGGGGTGGCGCTCGTTGCTCGGCTTTCATCAGCTGATGCAACGCGCTATCTGTTACTGTTGAATAAAGTGCCTGTAAGGAATACTGCATATATGAATGTTTTGCCGGCTTCTGTAGGCCGTGTGAGTTCGGGGCCAGATTGTTAGACCCTTCTCCGGGTTGGAGTGGTATCCTGGCTGTTCGGGGCCGTTGTTGGGGTTCTTTTTCTCCCCCGGCTATTTGTAGCTGCAGTGGATGACCTGGCTGGCGTGGGTGTGTTCCTGTGACTGGCGGTTCCTTGGCGGCGTGCTCCGACTGTCCCCGGACTGGAAACCTTAATGCGGGCGGCCCCCTTAGCCTTGTATTGTCTGGGACTGCATCTGACAAATTCTATGTATTGCGTGTTTCTCATGTGCTTGTCCCCGCGAGCTAAGATTGACGCTTTGATATGCCCGGATAGTGTGTATCTCTCCTCTCTTGGGTACCGACCGTGCTACATGGAGAGGCGCAGTGTTGACGGTAGAGTTTTTGGGCTCTAAAGTACAAGAACTGATTGCATCTGAGTCGTGCGTGCGTGAGATTATTGAATCGGAAAGACCTTTTACATATTATTTAACTAGCAAAAGATTAATTGCTATTTCTTGGCTCACGCGGAATCACAAGTTATGAGGGGTAATAGTTCGTGGATGTGCGCATGCGTGGCGTGCGCGGTGAACGCTCGGCTATACCGGCGAGCACGTGGTGTGCGCATAGGCGTCTGCGTATAAGTTAAGATGTGTTAAATTGCGATAAATTACTGGGATCGGTTAGAGTAGTTTTTGCAAAAGGGAAAGTGACTACGCGGCGATAGTGCGTTGCCTGTATATACTGGCTGCGTGTCAAAATCCGGTTTCCGGGGTGCGCACGTGGCGCAGACATGGGGCGTGTCGTGCCTCTGAAGTGTGGAGTGCGATTTCGGGATCGGGAGTGAAACCTAAGCAAAATACCCAGGGACGTAATTTATAATTAAATTGAGTTTGCATAAACACAGTTAAAACGACCTGTTTCCCGTGCGGCTAAAGTGTGCAGATACGCCTCAGTCGGCTTCAGAGACGGGAGCAGGTCCGGAGACACGGATAGGGTCTAAGTAATTTAACTCGCGATGTATGGTTTAACACAGATAACGATATATTTCTCGATTACGTAATTTACATTATGTTCTCGATGTCGCGGCGCCGAAGTACGGTTTACGGCCGCCCGGCTTACGCGACGTTACAATACTGGTGTCGGAATCGTGATTGCGGGGGAACACTAGGTTCTCGATGTCGCGGTGCTGGGATACGTATTACCACCGCCGGGTTTACGTGACGCTATTTTACGGTTCTCGAAATCATGATCGCGGGGAAGGCTCGCGAGCTCGCGGCGGTTCGGGATATGGACTCGCCGGTCGGCAAAGGCCGGACTGCGGCGGGCAACGGCCACACCACGGCGGTACGGAGTCCGGGGACTTGGTTGATCTCGGCCAGCCGGGAACTGCCGGACCGTGGCAGGCAACGGCTCTACCACTGTTAGCCGGATCGGTCGGGAACCAGGAAGCCACGGTCGAGACGAGCCGTCAGTGTCGGCCGGACCGAGGCCGGGAATGTCCGGGCCTCTCGTACTTGTGGGCCTTGTGGCGAGGAAGGCGGAAGAAAGACGAGTCGGCAACGGCCAGAATCGCCACTCGAGTGTGACTGCCTCCGTGAACCCAAAGCCGGCTTTTATACCCTCGCCGGTCCCCCCCTCTACTTACACTACGCTCGGACGGACAACTTAGCACTTAATATATCTATATATATAAAACATAAAACAACGTTAGCCCGATAACAATTTCACCGCGGTCAAAGTTCGTGCAACGCTTGCGGTGCCAGTGCGCGTGCGCGCGGTCGTTTCGGCCGGCGGCAGTTTGGCGCGCTCGGTACGCGTCTGTGGCGCGGACGATCGGCGTCC